GCAGCTGTCGCTGGCACCTAAACTAATTAAAACTGTGCTACGGCTCATTTCGTATACTTTGTCAGGGCAGACGCTGAGACGCCTAAGCTACGCATGCTTCAGACAGTTAATAATTTGTCTCGGTTGCTGGCGATGAAAGGATTACAGACCTAATGCTCCTGGGGTTGAATTTGTTTTGAAATACTTTTCAATGAGTATAACAGTTAAGTTTTATGCTGCAAACACTAATAGGTAAAGTACAGCTGGGAGCTAGCAAACGCTAGATGGTGCCAGCTTAATTATAAATCTACGACTCTAAGATACTTTTCAATTAGTATAACAGTTAACAGCTGCCAGATTTAATTTTGCTTACTTCTCAACGAGTTCTAATATGTTTTTCAATATGTATAACAGTGAACTTGAAAATTTGCATTGTGCTGTTATTGGGGTGCCGCCGGAAAATAGGTCGACAAATATAGTCTCAGAGACCGCAAACATGACAATCATATCATTGGAGAATTTTATGAAGGCAGTGGGCTGCAAGGCAAACAGAAACCGCAACAACATTGTGGTACCTCGCATGCTGCATACATTTTCCAAGGCAGCTGCCTGTGCGAGCAGCTGTTGGACAGCGGGCCAACGACGCATCGAATGCCCGTTGCGCTGGCCGCAATCATAAAAAATCAACGAAGCAACCAACCAAGCGACAAATGCATTTCCAACCAGTTTTACGACCAACAGCCACACAACCGAGCGGAAGTACCAGAAGACGCTGTGGCATGAGGACAGTTTTAAGAAATGCAATAAAACATTTGCAACAATTTAGATGCCGTTAGCTGTAAACAGTAAGCGGTAAGCAGTTGAGGTTGCACTTGCTGCTGTAGCTGCATTTGTTGTTGCAACTATCTCTCTCTCTGTCTCTTTCTGTGTTTCGCTCTCTTTCTATGCAGACGGTTGATATCTACTTGGACATGCAGTTAGCTGACTTTATGGCCAGGCCGCATTAAGCGCCATTAATGGCCAACACATTTCCGCTTCCTTTGGCCAGAGATTCGTGTTGTGATTTCCCTTACACATTGTGTTTACCAAAGCTGTGAAGATGAGCAGAGACGTACGGGTTGGCAATTAGACCTCAAAGATATACCAATGTCTGTGTATAACAAGCTCTGAGTAACATATAACAGTATCTGGCATGATCTTAAGGCAATATAAGCAGAGAACTTCCTTATAACAATGTTCTATGCTCGAAACAGCATAAGCATGCCATAACATATGTTAACTAACATGCATTCAGCTAAGATTTTTAGCCGCAAAGTTAAATATTTTATGTGTGGAGTGTTCAGCTAAGTGGGAGTATAGCAGGAGCCACTCAAATAGTTGAGGAGCGCGCCAAAATTGTTTAAGAAAGCGTGCAAAAAATATGGCAGCTGCGATTTTGATGTGAATATATGGCATACACATACATACTTATACACACACACACACACAAATATTTCGTGCGCTAGAAAGTAGCGTATAAATTTCGTGACTTTGAAAAAGGTTGCCAGGGGGCGAATTTTTTTTTTTTTTTTTTTTTTTGCGAGTGCAGCAAAGCGTATCAACTAAAGATGGCAACTGTGCGAATGGAACACTATTTATTTGGGCATACACACACACACACACTGTGACCCTGCAGCAGCTGCGACAGTTTTTATGGGACCTACGCTAAGTAAGTGATAAAGTTCAACTTTGATTTTGCCACTCACTCAGGCTTGACTCTCTCAAACACTCACGTCAATGTCAATTTTTATGGCTGCTTTGTCTTTTGTCAAACATTTGTCGCTTTGCAGCACTGCCCAAACATTGCACAGACAGCATGACAAAGCGCACTACTTTGCTGCCCCATAAGTCTGTTATACAGCGCACGAAAGTAACGTTGACAGAAATCTTGTTAGGTGCACTAAATTGGAGTCGAAAAGTGCCTGAGAGTAGTTTCAGCGAAAATGTATTGAATTTATTTCCAATTTGCGTACATCTCTGCCAGCAGCGTGAATTCGCTTCTAATGTTATTGTTATATGTTAATGTATAACAGAAATGTGTATTCTCAATTAACATATATTTACTATTTACTCCTTCAGGCAAACGAAAAAATTTCCCTGAAAATTCAGTCAATTTATTCAACCAATGGAATTTAGCTACTCGCATATGTATAACAGTTATGAGCAGTCAGTTACTTCGTAAGGCATTCCAGGCTAGTTTGCATGAATAATACTTGATACTTGAATATTATTCACTCTGTTAAACAGCTCGAATTCAACTGGCAAATGAACAGCTCTTAAATGCGGCTCACATTTCCATGCATGTATAACAGTTTAATCATATTATGGATCAGGAACTTCCTGTTTCCTCCTCATCAACAAATGCCACAACAATTTAATACCAGTTCAACTGCAAAATTATGGCGCTTTAAGCCCAGAATAATGTGAAAATAAGTCATATTTTTCCATATTTCGCTCCACTATGCTTTATCGCTATATTTGTTTGCCTTTTTTGTAATTTTATTTTAATTATTTCCTCATAAAAAGCAATAATAATTTGATTCGCTTTCATGTCAGAGAGCTCAATAGCCTTTCGCGACATGTGGCAGGAGAGCGAGCCGCGAGCAGGCAGCAGGCAGCATGCGGCAGTCGAGCACTGAATCTGTTTCAAATAACATGCATTTTGAAATTTTTCATAAGTTAAACGTCAACTTTCGATGCGTGGGGGCAACGCAACAGCAGCAGCAAAAAAAAGCAAATAAATACATATTTACAGAAAAACATACATATATGCGTTAAAAAAATTGAATTTTGATGTAATAAAGTCAGTGAAGGGAAAAATGTTGCGGAGATTTTAATAAAAAAAAAAGAAATGCAGAAAATTATGTGTAAAAACATATTGTGCAAGCGCAGAAGGGTTAATATGTGCAAAAGGGGTTAACAGAGGGCGTGTCAAAAAAATAATACGCAATGGGCGACTAATTTCATAACGGCGCAAAAGAGCAGCAGTAATTGCAGTTCGTTTGAAAATCTGATATTAATAAAAAGTTATTAAAGTCAGTGAGGCACAGGAGTTATGCAAAGTGTTATATGAGAAACTGCAATTAAACATGCTGCCTTATTAACCAACTCTGTTAGCTTAACAGCGCTGTATAACAGAGCCTTAAGCTGAGATATATTGTATATTTGCACTTGTGTTATTATCAAGTTTTAATTAAAATGTCGTCACTCGTGCACAGTTCAGTTGGCAATTAGGCAATGTCTCGCTATAAATTTCGTTTCATATCGCACAGATCATATCACACATACGACACGTACGCCCAGCTGCAGTAGCATTGTCAACCTGCTAACTAAATGTGCATAATTCTCGCTAGATAAGAGGCCAGGCAAATGCAAATGCAAATTATAAGTCTACACAGAGCTTGCAGCAGACTTTCATAAATGTATATGTATATGTATATATCTATATATAAATTGCTAAACAGACATCTTTCTAATCCAGGTCCAGACACCGACAAAAGCCGCACACACGTGGCTAATAAGTTGTTTGTGTGACCCATTTGACTGGCAGAGTTTGTCAACGTGCCACAGAAATTTACAAATCTTTTGCTTGGACAATTCCTGCTTCTGTTTCTGTTGCTGTAGCATGAATTTGTTTAATTAAAGCCAACCTCGTTGTTCTTGTTATTTCAACAATTATAAATGATTTATGTAATTTACTTGTCACACCATGTATTTGTGTCTCTCTCTGTGTCTGTTGCACTTGTCTAGCCAGCAATTGTGTCCTTAAGTCGCCTAGCATGCTTGGCCCTCATTAAATTATTTCGGGCTCAGCTGCTGGCAGGGAAAGTTATCTGACACATGCTGCAACATAATCGAAATGTATTGCAACATTTTCAAGCACTTCGAAGAGATGCTAGATATTTGAGTGTTTAACGCTTACTAGCATGTTCTGTATACAATATTTGTGCATATAATAATTAAAATGTATAATAATGAGATGTTGAATTGGAAATTGAGGTAGATAAGGAGTGAGAAAATTTCATTCAGTACAGCAGATATACTGTGAATATTTGTCTTATAATACTGAGGAAAATGGATTATTGATTAAGCACATAAAGCAAATGCATTTATTTGATACCAGAAGCTTAAGAGTAAGAAAATAAGATGTTCTACGCGCTAGCAAGAGGCTGACCAACAAAATTCATGTTGAATACATGAAAGTAGAGCAATGAGAGGTACTACTTGTTATACAAGGGAAGGAGAGTCAATAAGTATAACACTTGTGTGTAAGCTCAATAAATCGGAGGCACTAAGTGTTATACAGGATGAAGGGAAATGTCTACTTGAACTGTTATACAAGCAAGATGTCACAGAGTTTATGATCTAAATGCATTTTCCAAAACGTAGTAAAATCTTAAGAAAATATTCCATTTAGCAAAGCAATCCACAATTGAGCTATATGCCAATTTATCCCATAGAGAATACGCCCGTAATGGGAAATATCAATACAACAGTCATAAGCTCAGTTTCGTTTATTTGATTTCATGTAAACGGGCTTGGAATTGTCATCAAATACTCATAAATTACATCATCAGAGCAGCCGTAAGAATTTGGCGAGTTGTAAACAAAACGGCTGCCTAAAAGGCAGGCGAGCGGGACTCCTTCAACCATTTAATATGCAAAACGCGTCAACAGCTTTTATATACACACACACACACACACACACACGCACACACACATACAAACCATAATAGATAGAAACCAAGTGATTGTCGCCGTCGTATAGAATTGAAGGCGTCAAATTGTTGTCGTCTGAGAACTTTTTGTGCTTACTGTAGAATTTCCATTCATTCGTGTCTAGTACGTGATAATTGCATACTTTTCCCAGACATACTTTCAAGTACCGAACCGCCCTCTCGCTCACAAAAACTTTGGATGATTTAAAATGAACGAAAATTTAACAGACAAACATGTGAAATTCTTTTCTCCCTCCCCCGCATTCAGTCACCAAATTCATACGCATTGGCATTGCCGATAAGAACGATAATCCACCCTATTTCGACAAGTCGCTGTACGAGGCCGAAGTGGATGAGAATGAGGATATTCAGCATACAGTGCTCACTGTGACGGCCAAGGATCACGATGAGTGTAAGTATATCTACAATATATGTATGACAACCAAAATTTTTTTTTTTTTTTGTTGTCGCTGTTTTTGTTGAAGTTGTTTTTGGCGTTGAGTTGAGTTGAGTTAAACGAATTGCTAACAATTATTTTCTAGCCTCACGTATTCGCTATGAAATCACCAGCGGCAACATCGGCGGCGCTTTTGCGGTTAAAAATATGACGGGTGCCATTTATGTGGCCGGCGCATTGGATTACGAAACGAGACGCAGGGTAAGCTAGAGATTTTCTCCATTTTTGTTATGCTTTTCTCTTTTTCTCCTCTATATGCTTAAGCGTGTTGTTATTGTGTCAGGAATATATTATATTTATTATATTTATGATATAAGCAACGGTTAAGTCAACTGTGAAATTTGAATTAGCATACCAACTGTTATACAATAGCGTAAGCACAATAATTGATTAGCTTAAAGCTGTTATACACACATGCATAGCTGGCCAAACATCTGAAGTAATTGAAGATTTATGCTGAAAGCCTTCAGAGAGTACTTTCCAGCTATTAAACAATATTCAGTCAACAAAGTGTTATACTTTCAAGCATTGTCAAAACAGGGGCAAACATAAATAAATCACTGACAGTCACTGATTAGCTACATGTTATACATGTTTGTATAACACATTGATAGCACAGTGATAAATGGACGAGCCATTTGTATTGTTTTTTATTAAAAAGTAAATGACAAGTAATAATGAGAAAACTGTTATACACGTTTGTATAATACTGATTTGAAAGGTGGATTGTTGCAGCAATGGCTCTTGACTAGCTTCTAAAAATAAATACGAACTGTTATGCATATTGCTTTTAGAATAAAAGTATACAAGCTGTTATACTTGTGTATGTAAAGTCTACAAGCTGTTATAAATATATATTAAACTTTACAGAAAATTGTAGCTATTATATTATATTATAGCTACAAGCTAAAAGCCAGTTTTAATTATAATGAACTATAATATAATTGTAAATAATTCATTAGAGCAGCTATGCATACAAGATGTGGCAAATACAAGAGTTTTGTTAGCAACTTGCATTGATTAGCTAGCGCAAAACCAAAAAGTGGAATATGTAGGCGTGTGTGTGTATAACGGTTGAGCAATCAATTTAGCAATTCAATATGTAAGCAAGATCTGAAAATTCATTAAGAAAGTCGAAGGCCAAGTGCTATTCCCGCTGAATTTCATTACGTGCACACGAAGTGCACCGCGAGGCTAGTTAAATATTTAAGCAATTCAAACCAGTTTTAGTTACACACGACGCTGCGGTCAAAAAGTTGTGCAGGACAAAGCGCAACCGGAATTGAAGAAATTCCTTCGAAACATTAATTGAAATTCAATTTGAACAATTGGCAACTTCTGGCAGAACTTTGATTGAAGTGAGAGGGACGACTAGAGGCGAAGGATAGTTAGTGAGAGTTTCAGTGAAAGGAAAATAATTATAGCAAATGCATATTCGATGCTGACAAATGAAATTGAATAAAGTTCCTAACTGAGTGCCTGGTGACCTTTAATTAAACCACATTCTGTCGCAACAGTACGAGCTGCGCTTGGCTGCCTCCGATAATCTGAAGGAAAACTATACGACAGTCATCATACATGTCAAGGATGTTAACGATAATCCGCCAGTGTTCGAGCGGCCCACATATCGCACACAGATCACCGAAGAGGACGATCGCAATCTGCCCAAACGTGTTCTGCAGGTCATTAACAAAAAACAAATACATATATACATATATGAGCGCAAAAATCTGAAAATGTTTCTAGTTGAAATTAGCTGTGATTTTTGTCTTGAGTTTTCTTGTGTTTCTAGTTTTCTAGTTTGTAGCACTTTGCGCTATTTCACCCCGTTTTGCATATGTATATCAAGCATACGCCACGTTTGACCCGCCTCCACATAGCTTATAGTTTTAAGTGCATGTATTTTGCTTGAATTAGTTTTCCCACTTTTTATAAAGCAATAAAAAATCCTTTTTTTTAAGTTAATGGCATTCCAAATATGCGTACCCAAAGCAAATATTTATTGAATTTTCTTCATTATGTTAAGGCTAAAATATTTTACACTCAATTAGATGACGTTTTCTATTTTTTTTTTATTTTTTATATATTTTTACATATGTATATGTATATATTTTTTCTTGTTAGCAAATAATTTATTTACGTATTTGTCAAAGCATCCTCTTCAAGAGAGTGTATAACAAATATTTTCACACATTTGTTCACCCTTTGCGCTGGGCAAATTTGAGAACACAAAAAGTAACACAGATTTATCAAACAAATTTTTTGTGCTGCATTTAATTAAGCTTAAAAATTCGACCAGAAAAAAAATTGGTCAAACAAACTATTATCTCAGCGTGCTGATAAAACATTAAATAAACACGCGCAGCTAATTAGCAAATGAAAGGTCAATTAAAAATAATAAACAAGAAAATTTATATTTAAATAAATGAATAAGCTGACAGTTGATGTATAGAAAAACCAAATAATTTATAGAGACATTTGTAAATGGCATCGAATAGTTGACTTTAAATGTAAATATACATATTTATTCTTAATTTATGCGACATTATTTTTCGTATTTACATTTGTTTTTTTGTAATTTAAATTTATATACGACTCTTATTTATATTTGCATTTTCTTTTGGCTTTATTTTTTGTATGTTTTATTTTATTTGACTATTTTTTCTTATTTATGGCTTTATTTATTGTCAACCCTGCTACACGGAACACGCAAACACCCTATGTTGCTGTTGCTGTTCTTGTTGTTGTTGCTGTTTGCTTGGCTCTGTTTCGTTAGTACGAACTGAAATTGGTCGCATCGGATAGTTTAAATGAAAATCAAACAACAATCGTGATAAGCGTGCGCGACGTCAACGATCTGCCCCCCGTATTCCCGCAAACGCTATACGAGCGCACGCTGGACGAGGAAATGGCCACGCCCTTCACCATCATGCAGGTCGCTATAATATTTACAATTATGCCAGACAAATGCACATATCGTATATTGTATTGTAAATATATGAGGCGTGTATGTGTGTGTGTGTGTGTGTGTGTGTGTGTCTGTGTATAACAATTGCACAGTTCTCATTAAACAATTAATTTAACACGACTACAGCAAATAGCTCATTGTAATCATTGCGCTCACTTGTACACTTATGTTAACAAAACAACAGTAACACACACACACACACACACACACACACACATGTTCACATATTTGTATATTAAATATCATGTATAGCAGGTGTAAGATTTATATATTCAATTTAACAATTAGCAAACGTAAACAATTCATGAACATTTCAAGGGAAATATTTTCTATTTTATTTAAATGATTCTATGTAATTAGTAAAGTGTTGAATATTAAATATTTAAGCAATTTTAAAAATTATTTAATTTCATTTACATATTTAACAAATTTGCGCTAATATTTTTAATGTTTATTGGCACTCTAGCTTCAATTGCATGCATACATTTGTTTAGCACTTTGGCAATTAATTCACACATACACACACACACACACATTCACTAACTCATATAATAGCTATGCTAACTGCTAATTAAATTGCATGTTTTATTTCATTTTTAATGCGCTTTAATCTACCTTTACATTTACATTTTTCCGCGGCTTTATATGACTAATTTAATTAAGTAGTTTGCTGAAATTTAAATGCAATATGGATTTACAGCCATAACAATAGAATTGCACTAATACGCCATCTGGCGTACAAATCTGTACCCCCTGCCCAATCCCCACTTAAAAGCTTAGTTTCTGCATGCGCTCACAGTTTTATATTTGGTTCATTTCCAAGCAATTGAAAACCAAGAATTTATCTAGCAAACATAAAACTAATATTGAAATTTGTGTTTCTTTGGTGTTTACTTTTCACTGCACCGCACTGGATGCCGGATGCCAAACAGGTCACCGCCACCGATGGGGACAAGGATCGTCCACAGAACATTGTCTATTTCCTAACTGGCCAAGGCATAGATCCCGATAATCCCGCTAATAGCAAATTCGACATTAATCGCACAACAGGCGAAATATTCGTGCTTAAGGTAAGTTCTGGGGCAGCGAACAGCAAATGAATAAATAAACATAAATGGAAAATGGAAAATGGAAAGAGAATTATATATAAATCCAGGGCATTCTTGAATCCAGCAATTGAAGCATTAACAAACTGTCAGCATAAACCGCGAACGAACACGCAGGCAAATAAATGAAAAAAATATATATGTATATATATCAACTGCAAGATGAGACAGACAGGGAGAGCATGGCCAGAAAATACCCTGCGATATGTGTAGAAAAATAATGGGGAAAAAATACTAAACTTAACATTTTTCCTAACAACATTACATAATAATTAAGGTAATTAAGAAAGAGTGCTCTAGTCCAGAGTGCGCACGCGAGATTTGCTATCCATGCCAATCATTGAACCCTTTCAACATTGAATAAAATCATTGACTTAGCTTTGAGTTCATTTATATTTATTTATTTATTTATTGGTATTAAGAATTGATTCTAAATAACAATTTGTTAAGCCAGAGCGACAAAGGCCTTCAGGCATTTATATATCACTATATACTCATTTAAATAGAGAACAATTCAAAAATATTGACTTCATCCGCTTATACGACTCGGCATTGCCTACAGGGTATGCTTAAGTGCATCCGCCACGGCCCAGACTCGAATTCGCCGCAACAGAAAATAATTGCGCAATATGCGCACTGATTAAGCCCCATCAATGCCGACTTAATCCCCAGGCAGATGCAACGACAGCTTTAACGATTTCCCCAGCCTTTATCGTGCAATTCACTTTTGACTCAACGCGTGAAACTCATTGTTTAATATTAAAGTTGACTCTGAGTCGAACTCGAGCTCAATGCATATTCATATACGAAGGTGTCCCAATTATATATAAAAAAGAAGCTCTTTTTTTCTGCTGAGTAAAATGTTGTCTGCATATCCACTGAAAGTGAGTGTATAATGCTTATGAGGCAGTGTATGTAAAAAAGGAGTAGAATGAGATGTGGTAGACATCTACATATATTTTTAGTAAGGAGTAAATCTAAAAATGCAAGAGACTTGCAGTGAAAGATAATAATTTGTTTTGCTGTCGTCGATAAATTACTTTCCTCAATATATATATATATATTTTATACAATATTTAGTTTACTATAAATCCATATATCACCCTAAATGTTATAATTGCTTCAAAAATGTTCTCTCCTGTTGCAAATACTGAAATTTGGTCTATTGTATATACATACAGTCGTTATATTGCATAACAGGGTATTCCCCAGTCGAATACCTGCGAACTGCCACTTTCTCACCTACTTGCATTCCGCACTTGCATCAAGTGGTTTGATAATTAAGAAAGTTTTCATAAGTCAATTAACTGAAGAGAGCTGCGTTCATTATAATGTCGCCGTTGAGTAGTTCTTGCTCTTTAAAATGCATTTCAAGTGGCCTCTGGAGTTATTTCACAGTAAAAAAATAGAAGTGGCTGGTATTTACTTGAGCAGTCACCCAATGTAGTATAACAGTTTGACAGCTCAACATATATAAATAGTGTTGTTAAAATTGAGTACTCATGAGTAAAGTAATATACTCGTAACAGCTCTGTTATACATAGTAAACAGCAAAGGTCTTTAAAAACTGGTAAATCTGTTATACTTTTGTCTATGTATTACAATAGTTTTTATAACAGTTGCTGCTAAAATACCATCATACTGATGGAAATAATTGCAGAGCCATGTTGAATATTTTTATAGCTTCGATGTAAACGAAAGACTGTCCATCCGTTAGATAATACATTAAAAATACCCATAAAATCCAACCAAAAGTGGACAAATGAAATGACCACAAAAAACACTTAAAATAATGTTTTTTTCCCTTGTTTTACAGTCTGTTTTGTTTTTTTTTTTTTTGCCCTTAAATTGTATTAAAATATGCAGTCAAAAGCGCAAAAAACTTTTGTGGCTAAAATAATAATTTAGAGAGAGAGAGAGCAAAACATGGGGCATGGCAAAACGAACTCTATCAGTCAGAGAATCCACACACACACACACACACATACACACATTGGTAGCTCGGCTAATCCCTTAAATTGAATATGTCATAACAATGCTGTCAAATTTGTCATGCAAATTAAAGCGATGACGACGCATGTGGACTTTTGGCTCTTTTTGTATTTTGTGGGATTTTTGCTTCTATCATTTTTTACGACTAATCCAATGTCAGCGCTATGAAAAGCTGTTCCTGCTTCTGTTTCAGCATGTCCTGCTGTTATTGTTGTGTGCGTTACGTTACAGGCTGCGGCTGTCAGGCGGCATGTAAGGATCTAGCCGGCGCACAGGTGGGGCGGGCAGTTTTCGGGATGTGGGTCGGTATCCAGGGTCTGGCTTACTGCATAACAGCATGAGCCAAGAGAGATACAAAAGTGCTGATTAAAATCGCTTCTTCTTTTTTTTCTGCGCGCGCGTTTGTGTTATTATAAAAAGGTGAACGCCAACCTAGCCATCCCTCCCGCCCTGCACAGTTGGGGTTGCGTTGCGTAATGGCTGCCAGGACATACACATCACATCCCATCACTCAAGCCATGCCATGCTCTCTGCATATGCATATCAAAGTCAAAATCAGCACCGGGAAAACAGAGACGACCCACACATACATAGCTCAGCTGTGAGCTGTGGGCTGTGGGCTGCCATTGTGAATGGATAATTTCACAGGTTTACACACACGGCGCGTTTCTGCTGGAGTTTCGTTAAGTTGCACTTGTTCCGCTTTGCGGAACGAAAGCCTGGTAGTATACTTGGAGAAAAAGCTAGGGATTTTGTATGGCTGAGAAATACTGAATTGACACGATTTCCTGTACATCAGTCAGAAAATATCAAGGCCTGGACATGGGCATTTTTTTAGTAGAGAAAATTTAGCTGTTATTTTAAATATCTTCACTATTTCAATATTTAATTCTTGAAATATAGCCCGGTAATTTTTTCTTATTTATAAATAGGAAATTTATTTTTATAAAATAATGGAAAATACCTAGTTAAAAATGGAATTTGTGGAATTTTTTTTTTTTTTAAATAAAGAATAAGAATAAAAAAGAGTTTATTCTGTGAAAATTTTGGTCTGGAAAATTTGCCACAAAAATATTTAATGTAAAGTTAGTCAATGAATTTACTCTGCGAAAATTGGATTTTGTTTTCAATTTATTCCTAAAAACTTTATAAGAGAATTACTTTCAAAGATTACTTAATTCATTTTCAAAGATTAATTATAATTATTATTATTTCCATTATTTTTTTCCTTTAATTTTAATGTAATTTTAGGTATTTATTTCTATACGAGCTTTTCTCCAAGTGTACCTCTTGGGTATTTGCTCAAACAACGTTGTTTTTTTTTTTTTATCCACTGATGTAAATCGGTTTTGCGGTTATGACAGCTTAAAATTATACAATAACCAGGATGGGCGAACAGCACTCGTTGCACGTGTAGCTCCATTTTCTATTCAATATTTGCTCACAGCATTTATCTGCATCTGTAATCTGTAATCCGATTCTCTCTCTGCAGCCTTTGGATCGTGATCAACCGAATGGACGGCCGCAGTGGCGTTTCACAGTCTTTGCCCAGGACGAAGGCGGCGAAGGACTCGTGGGCTATGCGGACGTGCAGGTGAACCTGAAGGACATCAACGACAATGCGCCCATCTTCCCGCAAGGCGTTTACTTTGGCAATGTAACGGAGAATGGAACCGCCGGCATGGTGGTGATGACAATGACTGCGGTGGACTACGATGATCCGAATGAGGGCTCAAATGCACGTCTGGTCTATTCGATTGAGAAGAACGTGATTGAGGAGGAGACTGGATCGCCCATCTTTGAGATTGAGCCGGATACGGGTGTGATAAAGACGGCCGTGTGCTGCTTGGATCGTGAGCGTACGCCGGACTATTCGATACAAGTCGTTGCAATGGATGGCGGGGGGTTAAAGGGCACGGGCACGGCGTCTATACGTGTCAAGGATATTAACGACATGCCGCCGCAGTTCACCAAGGACGAGTGGTTCACGGAGGTGGACGAAACCGACGGCACCGCGCTGCCCGAGATGCCCATTTTGACCGTCACAGTGCACGACGAGGACGAGACGAACAAGTTCCAATACAAGGTTATCGATAACAGCGGCTATGGCGCCGATAAGTTTACCATGGTGCGGAACAACGATGGCACCGGCTCTCTGAAGATTGTCCAGCCGCTCGATTACGAGGATCAGCTGCAGAGCAACGGCTTCCGCTTCCGCATACAGGTGAACGACAAGGGCGAGGATAACGATAACGATAAATATCACGTGGCCTACTCGTGGGTCGTGGTCAAGCTGCGCGACATCAACGACAACAAGCCGCACTTTGAGCGCGCCAATGTGGAGGTGTCCGTGTTCGAGGACACCAAGGTGGGCACCGAGCTGGAGAAATTCAAGGCCACCGATCCGGATCAGGGCGGCAAGAGCAAGGTCTCCTACTCCATCGACCGCTCCTCCGATCGCCAGCGACAATTCGCCATCAATCAGAATGGCTCGGTCACCATCCAACGCTCGCTCGACCGTGAGGTAGTGCCCCGGCATCAGGTCAAGATCTTGGCCATTGACGATGGCTCGCCACCGAAGACGGCTACGGCCACGCTAACGGTCATTGTGCAGGACATCAACGACAATGCGCCCAAATTCCTCAAGGACTATCGACCGGTGCTGCCGGAGCATGTACCGCCACGCAAAGTGGTCGAAATTCTGGCCACCGACGACGATGATCGCTCGAAGAGCAACGGACCACCATTCCAGTTCCGCTTGGATCCCAGTGCCGATGATATCATACGCGCCTCCTTCAAGGTCGAACAGGATCAAAGTGAGTAGCACAGTTTTTGATTATATTTAAAACAGATTTAGAA